TCTTTTGGTCCACATTTTTCTAAAAAAAAATCGAATCCTCCATAAGATCGCCCAGGGCGGGGTATCAGCCGAATCCGGTACATGTAGTTTTGTTTATACAATGTAGTGATACAGTTGTAATATAAACAGAGATATAGATCCAGAAGTTGATACTTGATGATAATTTTTATGAAGAAAATGATTGAAATTCAGTCATCTTATATCATCAAACGAGTACTTGACCATATTATTGGTATTGGAACAGCTTTAATTAAAAAGAAATGGTCGTCAGTCGACCTTTTCGAATCCTACAATGTCCAATGTATGTACCAAGTTTGAACAAAATCCATCAATAAACAATAAAGATCCAGTTCCGGAATGCCATAAATGCTTGATTTCAATGATTTTTCAGCACAAAAATGGCCGTCATTGAGCCATCTTGAATCAGATCATGAAACAAATTGAAGTGAGGAAATGCCAGATATGCTTGATTTTTGATGATATTTTAGGAGAAGGTCGAGAAATACATATACACCAAGTACCAAAGCAATAAGTTTGAATGTTATCGGTACAGGCAGAGGTATCTATAAAAAGTACTTGTTTACAAAATTCTAGCAGTTGTTAGATTGAAGTCAGGTAAAGCATGTTTATACTAATAAACTAATTTGAAGTTCAATTCCATTCAAAGCTAAATAAAAGGACCGACTAGGTAGGCACCTTACTCTATTCTGTCCAGCATACACTCATGCATATTAATACATGTTTATAAATTGTTTCAAATGTACCCACTTTACCTGACTTTGGTGTGTAGTAAAAACTATTTAACAAAGAAATGTTTTAATTTGGATTTTGGAGACTTGTTTCTGTGCATAATGGACATGCACATTTAATTCTAACAATGGAACTTCTTTATTCATAGAACTACTGTTCATAAATGAACTATAAATTATATAAATGTTTCAATGTATTGTATTACTGTATAGTTCTTATGTTAAATCGCTGTTCATAAACAAATTACAGTGGGAGTTTTATATACTGGGGTATAAATCCCCTAACATAAATGTTTGCCTTCTATTGAAAATTAGGTTTTAAAAATAGAATTAATATGACATTTAAATCTCACTTTCTAAAATAAAGGACTGCAATGCCAGAAGATTTATAAAATTAATACTCATTAAATAA